TTGTGTTCTATTGGTAATTTGTTTGTAATGTGTGCAATATAGTTTTTTCAAGCACATTACTACTTTGATATCAATGTGAGAGTTAAAATAAAGATTAATGCCACAACCAGGCCAATTAATTTGATTAGACTTTCCAAGAAACATGAAAAGACACCTGCAAAAATGCTCTTACTGGCTTAGAACAGAACCTCATGTAAATAAAATTAATGAATCAAAAATAAACTCCTCCCACAGCTATGTCATTACTACATGTTTACAAATCGAGCACGAAACCTCATTACGCATGTTTTATTAATATTTATTAGAAAACAGGTCAGTGTGCTTCAGATGCTTGAAACAATTAAGAGTTATCGTTCGTACAGTAGCAAGAACGACAACTCTTAGAACGTGAATAGAGCATTACATGTGAATACAACATATTAAATTTTAAATAAATTTACACAATTTAATTAAAATCCAGGTTTTAAAAATCAATATTGTTTTTTTTTTATTTTTCACCAACTTTAAAAAATAAAAAAAATAAAAAATTAAAAGACCCAAATGAAAGCAAATTTTGCGATTAATGTATAACTGATAGATATACTAGTATTAGAATTAAAATACTTTACTTTAATTTACTTTAATGCAATTTGCTTTTATATTTTTTTTATCTACTTATTGATGATGCACTGCCTTTATCTACTAATTTATCTTTCATGCTTCTCGGGGGGCCTTGTTTAGAAATAAAAAATTGTTTAATTTTCTATAAAAGAGACATGTCAAACTGTTTTCTGCGATCGCCCATTGCGCGCACCTACGAAGTGAACAAGAATGCATATGACAGGTATCATGCAGATGCCCGCTCCTGCTGGTTCTTCAAGGAAATACAACTGTACACATCGATGTTAGCAATTAAACAAATTTATAATACCCCTTTATTAATCACAAAGAATGGGACTGATAGCCTTTGAAACAATCTGTTGGTCACATGGGTCGATGCTGATGAGGCACTCAAGTCAGTGTTTTGAATGCATTCAACGGATACCAACGGATGCAAATGGACGAAGCCAGAGAAATCATAAGCGAAATTTTGAATGAAGACGTGATGTCAACATTAGCCTCAAGGCTAGTTAGTCAAAGAACGACGACAACAGTCGCTTCAACAACGACAGCATCGTCATCTCAAACGTCGCTGGCAACCGATGCACAGAGCTTGACAAACCAGCCAACTTCTCGAAAATTTGCCTTTCACAAAAGCAAATCTCCACGAAGATTCTCTCTGAAACCTTCAACAATAAGGTATTTATCTAGTTTTGGTTAATACTACTTAAAATTAAAAACTTGACATTGATATAAAGAAAGTAGCTACTTTATGATATTCACTATTTGATAATAAGCATTCATTTACGGCCAAGAAAACATTTTATGGGATTGTTTCACAACACCAAACATTAAATACCGGGTACATAAATAGAAAATAACCCATAGAAAACACCTTGATTCCTTCAATTTTACTTTCACATTATTTGTAGTATGACATGAGTGATTATAAATGCATTGCCTCTTCCAAGAGGTCTGTGAATAAAGCATAACAGCACATACTGTATGCGGAGAGGTTTTCACCCCATTTTCTCCCTCTTTCCCCTACCCTTATTTGGATGAATTATAAATAGGCCTACGAAGTAACTAGAGCAAAGCCCATCATCTCTCTCTCTCTCTCTCTCTTGTCTCATTTAGGAAGTGATTATAAATCACAAGTGTTCTGTAAATTTCTAAAAAGATTTCCTCATTTTTAAATATTGAGAACGATTTAGTAAATATGGACAGGTGCAACTGATTCAATCTATAAAAATAATAATAACCACCCCCTCCTTTTGTCATCTCAAACTTCTTATGTACTAAGGCCATCTTTAAAAATTATTTTGTAGCTAAATGTCTTGCATTTTTCTTCTTTCAGGCATGATCAATTCTGGCATGGGACCAAGCCACTTCAATGAATTTTTAACAACCTGCGATATTCCACCCACCAACCAGAAAACCATTGCAAAAAAGGATAATATTATAGGCGATATTATAGAAAAGGAGGCCCAGAAATGAAATCCTGCATAAGATCCCTCCAGAAGGAAGTACAGATGTCTGACATAATGGAGTGCAGCTATGATGCTGGTTCAGTTTGATATCATAACGGTTATCAGATATGATAAAAAAAATTAAAGGTTACATAACAATAGGCCTAAGGGTCACATTGCTCACTTGAGCAACCTTGGCCATGCTGTTCTTCACAAGATTCTACCTCTGTAATATCTAAAGTGATCCCGCCATACCTCGAGGGTCATGATTTCAAGAATTTACACTATCCCAAGATGCTTCTTTATGTGTTGCAATTTCTCTGGCTCAATGGTTGTTGAAAAGAAGATTTTCAAAGATTTTCCTTAGATACATAAATGTAATATTTGGATTCCTTATAACTCCGTTTTACCCAATAACGCTTTGTACCAAGTTAAGTAAAAATTGGCCAAGTAGTTCTTGAGAAGATGTTGTCAATGTAAAAGTTTACAGACGGACAGGCGACGAACAAAAGGTGATAAGAAAAGCACATTTTAGCTTTCAGCTAAGGTGAATCTGAAAAGGTTTAATAAAGGTATAGGTGTAAAATTATCAACAAAATTGCTTAATTGCAAACAAAATTGCTTAATTGCAAACAAAAATATCAGCTGCATGCAACTTTAATTTATAGTTATGTTTTCAAGTAAATCAATTGGCTTTTTTTTTGTTAGATTTTCGAAATTTGTAAGTAAATCATGTCCCGTGTGACAGATGACATAATAACCACTTACCTCAATCTGTTAGCAGCTCAGCCTGACTTTTCTTCAATATGAACAAAAAAATTTTCATGATACAGGGCATGGGACACTGATTGGGAAGCAGACAGGTAAAATCCTGCAGTACGAGATCCGAAGCAAAAGCTGCAGTGTTTGTGACCACCATGGAGAGGACGTGATACCAGTCCATCAGTGTTCAAAAAACTGGGATGGATCAATCAAGGCGACGGAGCCAGATATGGCAGTGTCCATGCTACATAGAACGAGAGATTTCGGCCATCCAGTACAAATTATCCATGCTGACAATGACTCACCCTATCTACTTTAAAGTTGGACTTCCCTGGACTACAGAAGAAAGATGAAAAAAGTCATATATAAAAAAGGGGTATATCTAAAAAGATTTAAGCATTAGCTGTAAATGGAAGGAACTAAAATCGCAATCATTAGTAATTTCATTCCTGTTCAGATGCTTAATGTATACCCTGTCCAGGGCTAGAACAGGCGATGATGTTCAAGAAGGCCTATCACAGATTGTACCTCACCTTTTGGTGACCATGCGAAGTGCAGTGACTGGTGTACTTTTAAAATAGATCCAAATTTCAGGTATATATTGTAGAACGAAATTTATATTAAATTCATAAAAAATATTAAACTACCGGTATTTATGGTAATTTCTTGGTATTTAATTGAATCCATGGATTTCAATCTTTTATTAACAAGATTTCTGATCAATGTGAATACATCATACATAATTCATCTGATTTGTTTCAACACAAATGTATGACATAAATTTACATTTGCAATTTTATTTATATATATATAATGCTATATTAAGCAATACATACCTACAACCATATAAATAGGATCCCTCATGTCATTAGATGTTTGACAGGATTTCTCAATGATGTCATTAAAGGTTGATGCGAAATCAATTTATTCAACACTTGCTGTTAAGTGGGGAAAAAGATTCACACATTAAACTCCCTTAATCCGAAACAGGCACAATAAAAGTGCGTCATTACATAAAGAATATATAACAAGGGGCCCATAAGCACCTGGGTATCATGTAACAACTTTCCAACAATTGAGTTTGGTTTTAAACCAGAGGCCATGAAATTCAAATTTTGAAAGAAACAGCTTGCTTATTACAAATATTTACTTAGCATGCTTACTCTAGTTACGTAATACTGTACCAAGAGGTAGATCAGGGTAACAAAATGCACTTCCACTTTATAACCAGTTATGTACCCCATCCAACAGGAACCACCGACTCGGGGGCCAAAAATTTAAAAAAATCTTGGCAATTTTATCATAAATTGGAAATGTTTACAAAGACGCCAATGACAACAACGACGACAGACAACAGACAAATTTTGATCAGGAAAGCTCACTTGAGCAGAAGACTAAAGTGAGCTAAATATGATACCTGAATTCTTTAAAATATGTTCAAGTTAAAATGTGTACTAGTTTTACATGTATGCGTATTTTTATCATAACAAAAACATAATAAGAACCAAAAAAAGATGGTCTACGACATACCCTTGAGGGAAATATAGTTAACAGAGCAATATTAAGAATTTTTATTTCCATCAAAAAATTATGAGGTAGGAATTACTTTTCTTTAAGATTTTAAATATGAACTACCAAATTTTAATTGCAACTTTTGGGTATTGCGCCGCCTTCCTACACCAGACAATGAAATATGTCTTTTAAATTGGAATAATTTGAGTAGTTACTCCATGATCCTCCATAAATTTATTAGTGAGTGCTTAATCTATATTCGAGGTTTCATTAATGTATGACATAAGGTTCTTACAAAACAACGTTTGTCTACGGAGTTTTTGGACAACCCTCGTATATGTAGAGTTGGAGTTAGTTAATTAATAGATTGAAGCTAATGTTTCAGATAATCATCTATTGGAGCTAAGATTCGTTTACAATAAGTGTGACATTTTCAGAAGTCGAGAGTGCTTTACTAGGATTTAGACAGTACATATGCTAGCATAAATATAAAAACTTTTGTTTGTACTGTGCATCATCAATGTATACATGTATATGTAAATAAATCAGTGCATTGTTTACTGTCTTTTTATTGATTTACGAGAATTACAAGGATTTATTTATCAGGGATTTATACCAACAATTGGATAAGTATATTGAAATCACCTCTAACTGACTTACTAGTAGAATGATACGGTTGTTTCAGTAAGTATTTATACATGTACGATAAACCGTTTATTTTTTTAAAGGGGATCAACTGAGGAGCCCACAAAAATCTTGAAAACCTACAGAGACAAATTTTTGATGGGAAGAAAATTGGACATAAGCGAGGTGGATGAAATTATTGAAGGTGACACGTCTTCGATATTTGTTGGACGTAACAACCTATGGGAAGACACAAACTCGGAGGTTAAATTGCTTTCCAATATTCGATTTCCGCTAGAAGTGAACTTTCACGGGGAGCAAAGTGAGGACTTAGGTGGTCCTAGAAAGGAATTTTTACGACTGGTTCTGGCCTACTTAAAGTCCTCCATTTTGGAACCAGGAGTACCAGTCAAACTCCGACGAAACGGTGCTCTCATTGAAAATCAAAGCTATGATACTGCAGGAGTAATTGTAGGTAATGACATGAATATTTTCCTTAACTAAATTAACACTAGCAATTATTCAATAGTAACTCTTTGCGATAAATACATGTATAAAATTCGTTGATTGGACTTAAACCATCCATCACTGAAAGAAATTGGAATACAAATACGATAATTTATAATTTTAGGTCTCAGTGCCCTTCAAAATGGGCCATGCGCAAATTTCCTGGGATCTCTTATGGACAACTGGCCACAGTCGGAGCCATAAGAGTATGCCCTGCTCAGGAAAGGACTCGAAAGAGTAGGAGTATGGCAGGTTCGGATTTTGTAACTAATGCTATTGTTATCTGATCTAACGACAGATTTCAATATGGCTGTTAAATATTTTAAATTTAGTTTAAACTAATGATAAATATTGAGGCCTTAACTTTTTTTTATTTGTATTAAAGCTCATCAGACAGAAACCGTCCTTGTTATATCTCTTCCGAGAGCAAAGTGTAAGACTTAGTGTGTCTAAGTTTGTAAACACTTTAAAGCCACGCTTCAGCGAGGATGGAACTAACAAAAGGTCCAAAGAGGAGAGAGTATACTCTTTCTTCATTAGATTCATAAGAAATGTTGCAGGTAATTACAATTAAATTCAGTTTGATCTGACAATAGAGTAAAAGATATTTGGTATTTGAGATTAATAATAGTAACAATGAACTAATTAATTTCTTTTACATGCATATTTTAACTGTATCCAAATATCTGTTTATTAAGCTTATACATTCCTAAAGCCAGAGTGTATTTTTTCAGCTGGAAGACAAGGAAGCTTAACGCTTGGCCAGATTTTGGCTTTTGCAACAGGTTCTGAAGAGGAACCAGTTCTTGGTTTTGAAATTGAACCAAGTATCCTCTTCAGTGAACTCTCAGGCGACCTGCCAACTGCATCAACCTGTATCAATCAACTAATTCTTCCGTTGTCAGATAAAAGTGAGGAATACATGATAGACAGATTCATGTGGGCATTCTCAAATACCTACTTTGGACTCCAATAACATTGATTGGAAAAAAAAGTTCTTTTGTCACTGACAGTGTATTTCTGTATTATTTTCCAGTTTTCCTTGTTGATTAATGGATTTTTCGTTTGTACAGACACGTTTTATGAAAAACGTTGCATTTTTGTCAAATATCTTATATTTTTTTCTCAATTGACTTGGAATTTTGGACTACAATGTAAACCTTTTCTAATAAGACAGAGAAAAATTCAAAATTGATATGGATAAGATTTTCAGTTGTATATGTAATATAAGCAAAATATAAGCAAAAGTTAACAATTTTTTTTAGTATTTGAACACAATCAAAAGTCGCATACTCAGTGATTGCGAGATATGTAATCGTAGGTTGTTTCTTTCGTTTGTTATTGAGCCTTCTTTATAGTTTTACTTTGATTAAATAAAGAAGAAAATGGTAAATGTCAACATAATCATTCTTTTAATTGACAATATTGATGCAAGGCTTCTTTCCATTCCACGGCGTCTGTCCAATTATTTGACAGAAACATTTGATGAGCAAATATATCAAATTCATCAGGTCCACTTCTGCTGATAGGGTGTTGAAAAGTCTGTAGTCTTCTTCTGTCGTTTTGGTCAGACAATCAGTGCTACCTAGAACAGTAACGATATCAAGGAGTGGGTTGATTGAAAAAAAAAATTAAAACAAACTAGAGCCGAGCTCGTTGCAAAGCAACGAGTAGGTCTTCCGTCCTGTTTGACCGAAAGTAACTTTCTTTTATGAAAAAAAGACAAATGAAGTCCAAAAATGATTTCATCCTCTAAATTTATGTTTATTATTGCAAAATTAAGCCATTTTTGGCAACTTCGAGGGACGGAAAATTAAAATTTAAGCTTCCAGTGACATATGATATCCAAAAACCTGTCAAGAACAGCAAAAATATGCAATTTTTTACTACTTCCGGTTTGGGCCGGAAGTGACATTGCCGGACGTATTTCGACGACCCAATTAGATAAAACTTGACATTTTGTACAACTTTGCTTCTTTGACGTATTACAAATTCTCAATACTTTTTGAGACATAAAGGAAAACTTTTCGGCTCCTCTAGGCCCTTCATTTTAGGGGCCAGCCCTTTTTTCGAGATATCATTTGAAAGATCGTGTGATTCTACACTTCTTTTGTTCTACATGTCTTTACAAAATATTTCTAGGTAAAAATTTATCTTTGAAAAAGTGTCAAAAATTTTGAAATTCTTGATAGGACTATTTTCGCGCCATATCGAGCGTCGGCGTTTCGTACTTCCGGTAAAAATGATATACTGAATTCACTTCTCCAAAGGTTGCTCTATCATCACTGAAAATTTCATACCTCTATCTTCAACGATTTTTGAGAACATTGCCGGACAAAGTGACCCTCTAAAAATGACAAAATCGCGAAAATCTCCGAACCGGAAGTGACGTCATCAAAATAAAAAAAAATTATTACTAGATTTTTAGATGTTTTATCAGACCTGAAAGTTTCATGAAAATCCATTGAGCCGTTTCCGAGAACTCGCGTGCACAAAATCGGTAAGAAAAAATAAGAAGAAGACAAAGCAACGAGTAGGTCTTCCGTCCCGTTTGACCGGATGTAGCTTTCATTTTTAACAAAAATGAAAAATAACACCCAAAAATGGTTTGAATCCTCTAAAGCTATGTTAATTAATGCAAAAATAATCCATTTTTTGCTACTTCCGGTTTGACCAGAAGTGACGATGACTGACGGAAAATTAATTTTAATGCTCCCAGAAAAACTTGTCAAAAACGGCAAAAATACGTGTTTTCGGAAACCGGAAGTGACGTCACGGACGTATTTTGACGACTCCAATAGATTAAACTTAACATTATGAACAACTTTGCTTCTTTGACGTAATACAATTTGACAATACTTTTTGAGATATAAAGAAAAACGTTCGGCCCCTGTGGGCCCTTCATTTAAGGGGCCAGCCCTTTTTTGGAGATATCAGATGAAAGATCTTGTAATTCTACACTTCTTTTGTTCTACATGTTTTAACAAAATATTTCTGGTAAAAAGTTATCGTAGAAAAGGTGTTAAAATTTTGAAATTCTTGATAAGACTATTTTCGTGGAAAAGAAACCTAAGAATAACAATAAGGTTTTCCGCTGAAGACGGAAGACCTTAAATAGTGGGAAAGAAACCTAAGAAAAACAATATGGTCTTCCGCTGAAGACAGAAGACCTTAATAAAAACACTGAATTAGTAGGATGAAAGTATTTAGTACCATTTTCTGATAACTGATGTATAATATTAGGCCTTCCAGCTGGGCATGATGCCTGTCTGCTTTGAGATACATAATGGTCATTCCATTGTTCGAGTAAATCATCAAGCTCTTTTTGAATAACAGCGTAAAGCAATAACGAAGACTATACCTGTAAGGATTTAAAAGGTCTGATATATTCTTCTGAGCAAACAAAATGTGTAATGTTTGAACTCTCTGAAGTTTTCAGATAACAGTGTCGCATGCATTAAAATAATACACGTATTTGTAAGCAGCATATTATCAAATGCTTTAATAACTCACAAATTTGTCACATTTCCTCTATGAAATAATCCAAACAGCTCCAAGTCGTGAAAGAAACGTATCCACCACTCACTTTTTAGCCTTCTTAACATGCTCCACCATGCCTCTATCCTCTGCAAAAATATATCAAAACAAGTTTAAAACCAATATTACGTCTCCATATGAGTGAAAAATTCTCAAGAGGGACGTTAAACAATATACAATCAATCACACTTGATTAAATGTTGACTTTACAACTCTAAAACTATGCTGTCTCGCAAAGCAGTCGCCAGCTTCATGTCGAAGTGTGCATTGAATTGCACCCATATCTGAATTTTCCGTTCCAGGATCAGCTTGTAGTATGAGAGGAAATCCTAAATATTGAAAGCATTTAGTTTGATGCAAAATTAAAACAGAAAATGAAACTCATAATTATGAACACGCTAACATACTAACCGTTTACAGCTCGTATACATCCTATGAAATACTGAACAACAACTGCAGGGTCACTGTTGGTTGAACCCGCAGTTAACCACATCAAACGCCGAGAAAATCTGCAATAGTGTCGTTAATGAGCATTTACATGTATAATATAAACTATATTCTTTATATATTGTTCAATAGTCAATTTTTTAAACATTTTTACCTTCAACATGGAAGACAATTTAAATGTTGCAGAGGAGGGTCTGATAAAAATTTTCCAGTCGTTCTATTTATGACAGTCAAGAAAGGTTACTTGTTGTTTTTTTTCAGTTTGAAAAAATTTTATTGTTTAAAACACAAAAGGATTAGAAACAAGTTCTTGCAACTTACAAGTTCTAAACACCATTCAAGGAAGGGGAATTTTGTTGTTGTCACATATATTTTACAACATCTTCAAGGACACATTATATATTATATACTATTAACCTTAAAATCTGCCAGGTCTCTTGAGAAAAAGATACCTACCCGTCAATGCAACCATGGATTGAAATCCCGTATGGCTTTAGTTTGTCGTAACTATAAAGAACATTGTTTAAAATTTAGTTTAAAACAATCTATCAAAAGCACAAACTGGTTAATGCATATATATTTAGAAACATTGCATATGTTTCTAAAACACACCCATCGACATGCCACACATGGTTAGGTCCTAGGCTTGAGTACAATCTCCTGTTAATTCTATGACGACGACGATTCTCTACTCCAAGTGGATCAACTTCTCTCAAAACAGTCATTACAGTGTCTCTGCACAGACACAAAAGAAGTGATTTAGCATGATACTCATTGGTTAAGAGATATACACTTCCACCCCCTTAATACTTTATATACATATTATATTGTTTCACTGTGGTGTTTTCTGGTAATTCGGGCCCGATTCCACAAGATTTCTATACACTGTAGTTATCATTTTGTTCATCATAGATTGAAATGAAGTAATATGTATCCCAACAGTGATATTCATTCAACATAATTAATTTTAAATTGAAAATTTCAACAAATATCTTCAAAATACTCTAAAGTAGTCTGTTTTCTAGTATTTAAGACTTAAAATAATGAAATAAATACCTGCGGACATGTATTCCTTCGCGATGTAAAACACCAGTTAAAAATCGGTAGCCAACGGTTTTTGGATAATCTTGCGAAGTGGACTACAAAAAAATATTTTGGTATAGAGTAATTTTTATTTTTAAACATTTACTAGTATATATTACTAACATATACTTCAAAAAGTAAAAATATTTTATTGCAACATTATGACGAAGGAGTCATAGCACATTGCTTTAACTCTCATGTGCCGGGTTGTTACTCAGAAAATTCAATTAAAAATTCTGTTGACATTTCCTTGCAGGGTCAGACTAGATATGCTGATAAGCATCCAAGTTAATAGGAATCATTAAACAATGTATATGCTGTGGAAATGTATGTAATTATCACGTTTAAAAAAATAACCGTCTCACTTTTTATACCTTTTTTAAACACAATATGATAAACTATATATAAACACACTTATGAAAATAAATTAAGAAAAAAAAAGCAACACTACTAATAAAACGTTAGCTCTTTCATTATCATCTTAGGACTTTTACATTCAGTTTAAAATAATGACGTTGTAACGTTACCCCCCCCCCCCCCCACACACACACATACATACCTACTTGTATATTTACCTTTACAATGTTTTTCACGTCCGAAACTAAATGGGCAGTTGGACCTCTTCTTCTGGGCTCGCCCAGTCTTTTAAGCCTTTTCCTAATTGCATTTTCGCTATCGTAAATATTTTTTCTTTGTAAAACTTTGACTTAGTATAGAATATATATAAATATATAATTATGTATAAAATACATGTTAATTTTATGCTTATAGCTCGATCTGTTTAACCATATTCAATATAACCAAATAACCAACTGAACTTTTCATAAAAGCGTAATTTTGTACTATATGTACATGCATGCAAGACATTAAATTTCATACCTTAATTTGATATCTTATTTTTTAGTAAACTGCTCATTTCGCGGTAGGTATACATTCGTTTGGAATATTCGATTAGAATTTCATTTACTGCAAAAAGATAATAAATCATTATATATAAAAACAGCGGATCTAAAAATCAAAATACAGTTATAATGCTTTGTGCTAATTGATTTCAACTTACCAAAAGATCTTGGCGGCATTTTTTTTTACGTGCAAGTCTCGTACGTTTGAAGAGGCATCTTGTTGGGGCACAAAGAAATCACGTGGTCTTGTATTTCGAGACTAGGAAACAAGGATGATTTACGAACCAATTAAAATAGGAGAAGGGTACCAGTGAGGGGGGAACATTTAAAAAAAAAATAGATATTTTCTTTCCATTTTGTTACTTGATACCACCTTTAGATGTAGAGTGTACATGAAACTTTTCCTGACACTTTACACAAATTACGTTGGTGTAGAGTGTACATGGAATTTTGCAATGAGCTGTACACTTTGTGGATGCGCTGCGTTGGACGTGTCCAAGGTTATTTCCGTTTTTCAAAATACTTGAAAAAAGCAACAAATCAAAATTAATGAAAATTCTTAGAAACATTTTCCCTGAGAAGATAGCATTTTTGGGCAATGACAGAAAAAGAAGACACAGTTTGCAGCATTGCATTCTATGTCAATTGACTCATTTAAAAGAGTCTTAATGCCATTCCTCAGCAACAACAGTGAACAAAGATCTTATAGAAAAGGTAAAGACCAAATCATCAACTACAATAGTCCATTTACGAGATAACATGTTCCAGCAGGATTCCAACATTTACTTTGTACGCCAGTCACGTGATTTTTATTAAAATCTGGGGCGCATCACTTCCGGTGATATTGTTGACATTAGAAACAATTTGTCTGTTTCGATATGCCTCACTACTAGATAGAATGTTCTATCGTTAAAATGATATTGTCCTACGGACCCGGTTTAACGATAGAATTCGTTCCGTGTATTCGTAATGTAGCAAAAAGAAACACGGGCGATAACTCGCATAGTGCATTTACTAGGAACAATCTAGAGAGCTCCGAATGTAAACATGGAGGTAATTTGAATCGAGAGAAAAACGTTGAGAAAATTAATTGGATTTTCTTATTTATATGGATTATTTTTTTGGATAAAAGGCATAAGCAATCTCAAAAAGGTTTGTTTTGATTATTTTGGTAGTTATTCCCTGTGCAAATCATTTTATATTCTTCAAAATCGTTTCGGAGCGGATCCGCTCCGATTCGCTACATTGCAAGTATATGGGACGTATTCTAACTGTGGTGAGGGCTTGTACCGAGACACAGTTAGATTATTCTAACTACCTCACTACTACTGCGTTGTTGAAGGCTGTACAACTGATTCTCGGAAAAGCGGTAGATATGGCTTTATGGCCGATGTCGATTTTTTCGCATTTCCCTCTTCAAACCACCCAAAATCCGTAAGAAATGGTTGGACTTAGACGCTGCGAATTTTAACCATCTCGTCCCGACAGAATAAACTCTAAATATTTTGTTGAAGGCAGGCCTAGTGAGGCCCACCCCGAACTGTATCGATATAACAACGGCTGTATAAATTTCCTATTGGGACCCGTGATACTGCTTCAATTGAGAAAAAATCCACATGTACTAGTACAACGATGGAAGCCACGCTCACTAGTGAGTCTCCTCACGCACCAAGGCCTACACCAACGGACTTTCTCGTACATCTATGTATTATAAGACATTGTAGGTCTTCTTTTCATTATTTTAAACAATCTTACTGAGTCAATTTATTCCCAATAATTTTATTATTGTACAAATGATTTAAAATAAATTTAATTTACGGTTTTATAATAGTACATGTAGGATGAACAAGAACAGCCTTTCCCATTCCCAGTACAGAGAAAAATTACTGTTCAATCAGTAATGGCAGTAGAACAAATAGCAGGTATGTTGACTTATGCACAGCTTTTAATTTGTAATATACTTTTTATTTTTATACCATTACTCATAAAATGGAGTCCAACAACTGCATAAGCTGTGGTAAATTATTTTCATCTTTAAAAGACCCTGGAAATAAGAGAAGCCTCTCTTCTAAATTGGTTAGAATAGATAGAACTGTGAAAAATGTTTTGCAAAAAAGACTTGGGTGTGAAATTTACCCCAGAGCAGAAGAAAAAGATATTTTTGTGCCCACAATGTAGTTGGACCATTTATTCATTTGCTAAATCCCAAGAAGCTAGTGCACAGGCCCTCAAAAAGATCAAAGAGACAGCTCATGCCAGTTATGGACCAACCTACCTGGTAAAGAACTTAGGAGTCCTATGATCACACCAAGGAAAATTAAAAAGTTGCGAACTGTGTCTCCACAAAAGGTAAAACTTTGTGAAATTAACATAATTTCAGATTTTTTTTTGTATATATAATTGTAGCTAGTTCGAGGTCAGGGGTTGGGTCCCTACAGCTACAGTACTACAAAATAATCTAATATTTCTTTGCCTGTCAATGAATTTTTGTGGGAATCTTTTTCTTTAATTTACATATTTCAAAATGTATAATTTCACACATTCCTCTTAATTAATCAATTCACATTAGATGAATTGTTAAAGCCAATATAATTTTTTGTAGCACCAACAAGTACCGTCAGAAACAGGGGAAAGCACGTCCTATACACTAGATGTACAGACTAAAAATAAAAGGTACATGTATATATATGCTTGTATTTAAACTTTTCAGATGTTACCAAATTTGTGATTTTTTGAAATATCAATTTCAGAAGTTATGACTGAATGAGCTATGTTCAGTACAAAGTTAAATGTAAGTGTGTTTTATTTTTTATATACAATTTATTTTATATTCAATATTTTATAGTTAACTAAACCTGAATTAGATGTCAATAAGGCATTTACTTACCTGAGACTAAGGCAGTATAAAAGGAAACTGTTTATGATTACCAGATCAGGAGCCCTGAAAGCTTTCTCCACTCTACTGAAAGAAACTGTTTAAGAGGAGATGGGAATTCTTTTGAGAATCGAAGTTTGGGGATCGTTTAGGTATTGAAGAGTGGAGAGAAGTTCAATGGAATGATTTCCTTGATGAGATGAAGGTGCATTGTCCTTTACTCACTTCATGTTTACTTGGGGCACAGAAGAGACAGTGACACTGCTACACCTACCATAGGAACAGTCATGTCCATCTTGGCATATCAATACAAACCTAAGAAAATGGCAAACTTGCAGGAGTTGAATGCTTGGAAGTTGTAAACGACAGGTATGTATTAATTATTAGTATTTAATCACCGACTTAAAACTGGTTTTCCATGCTAAGAAATTTTCAGGTTTGTCATCAAAGTTCACTAGTTTGTTAATCTTTAGTTCTTTCTTAAGAAAATTTGTAAACTCGCTGTGTTTTGATGCAAAATTTGGGGAAAGCATCCTCGTCATCTGTTTATGACTAGGCTTTTTAAACCACTTGTTACACACACACACCCTCCCTCTTTCTCTCATACATTCTTAAACTACATTCTTCAACTATAAGTTTATAAAAGGCTGATATATTATATAAACACTGAAACATTCCCAAAAACTGTCTTTGACTTCTCAATTTGAGTCAATCTGCCACAGACATAGGTAAGAAGTTAATGGTCCACCATTGATTTGTCATCAATAGCTAGAAGTTTCAAATGTGTTTGAAATATTTCCCCCAAAGTTGTAAAAGGAAGTTTATTTTTCTTGCTGATGCCGAATTGAGATTTATGCCCCCAATGTTGAAAGCTGCTATAAGAGCTGTCGTTGTTTTCTACTGTTCTAGAGAGAATTATGTTTGTTTGTGATAGCAAGATGTGATTTTCCTGTTTCAACACCCAAAGTTTTTAAATACAAGGAGAGGTTCGGGATGGTGATTCTATGAGGCTTTTAAAACCCATTCTCTATCTTTGAAAGAATTTTTTTTTTTTGCATTTCATTCATTTTTCTGAGAGATTTTTGGCCTCTGATAATGCCTTTTAGTCATACTTTTCTCTTTGTCTGAAGATGCAAAAAATCAATATCTGACATGTTCGATGTTGGCCTCGATTTCTTACTGGTAGGTATTCAGTTCCTCTTAACATAATTGATTGATGATGTTGGAATAGTTCTTGCCAGTTGCTTGTTACTCTGTCAGTCCGAAAAAAATCAAACTGTATTTTTTGTTTCTTGCCTGCAACTATGTATACCCCCACACCGAAGGAGAGGAGTATACCGTTCTAACCATGTGTGTCTGTCCGTAACAAATTTTCGTCGCACTTTTCTCAGCAACCCATATATCGAGGATGCTTGAAATTTTAACACAATTTTCTCTTAGGCATGCCATACTTTGGGATACTTTTTTGGTCAAATCAAATGTCAACTTCCTGTTTGTCTGTCCGTTTCATACATAAAATGTTCGTCGCACTTTTCTCAACAACTACTCATCGCAGATGCTTAAAATTTTAACACAATCTTCTCTGAGGCATGCCATAGGGTGGCATATTTTTTTGGTGATTTTTCCTGTATGAAATATCATAATTGAACGTGTGTATATTAACATGATAATGTTTATGCCATATGGTGGAATTCATTTTTATATGAATCTGACGTCAATTTCATATTTTTTCCGTGTATCATAATTGAACGTGTGTATATTAACATGAGTATTGGCTCACAGATTCTTGTTTTACCTTGTTCATTCACTTCATTTCTGTAGAAACTTTTTTTTTATAATTATATTTTATTTATTCAGTCATACATGTAATCATAATTTAGTCATATCAAACATATGACGCCATGGCTTATGAAA